TAAAATAATATAATTTAATTGTTTACTGTTCAACTATAGTTAGGTGGTTGAACCTTTAAATCAAGGAGAAGATATAAGAAGGTAAACTTTTGATATAATTAATTGTCAAGATTGGAATAAAATGTTCACATGTAACAAGTTACAAATATATATATATATATATATATATATATATATATTAATAAAATTATTAGTGCTTCAAATTCAAACTAATCACCTTATATTCCGATTAATATGCAATTTAATTATAATAGATGAGAGAATAATCAAGTATATTGAACCTTTATAAAAAAAAAAAGCGTAAAAAATGTTTTAATAAAGTTATTAGTGCTTCATGTTTAAACTAATGACATTTTCTTTAACAAAATATGCTAAAAAAATCTACATTAAAAGTTTTATATATATATATATATATATAAATTGTCTAACATTTTTTTCATGTGCTGATTTTTTATAATGTAGATGTTGATTTTGTCATTTAATAAATTAGTATTAGTATTTCAACCTTCACAATATATAGGATAAATATTTTTTAAGTATATAAATTATGCTATAATTAAAATTTATAAAAATAACATTTTTAATATAAATTATATTTAAATTTATAACAAATAATTTATATTGTAATATAAGATTGTTTTTAATTATCAATATTTTCTTATAAAAAATATTGAAGTTTAATTTATAAATAAAATAAAAAATATAAATATAAAGTGATAAACAAAATTAAGAAAAAAAAAATTTAAAAATACTATCTTCGAAGAATTTTTTTTTAAAAGTTCTCATTGAATAGTAAGTCACATTCTTATTGAAGCTAGTTATTCTAATTTATATTCAGAAATGATAACTAACACACTTTTCGCTGTACAATACTAAGGTTAAGGTTATAATTTTTTTTTATAACTCAAGGTTATAAATTCTTAAGATCCATTATATATCATTAGTGAAAAAAAAACATTTTGTGCCTTCCTTTTTGTCGTAGATGGTAAGTAACAAACTTTAATTAGGACATGTATATATATAAAAAAAATCTTGCAAAAAAGAATAAATCATAAAGTTAAAAAGGATTTTATATAAAAGGAATGAAAATAGTTAAATTTTTTCTTTTATATTTGTCATGGATTAAATAAAACTTAACACATACTTAAGAAATTGATTAACCTTATTTTTTATGGATAACGAATGTTGCTTAAGAAATTTGGATGCGAAAATTGGGATGAATGCAGGAGAAAATGTTGAAACAAAAATTTCATAAGTAGTCGAAAAGAAATGATGTTTTAAATTTATGCATCATATAATTGAAGCTTGAACAATGTTAATTCATTCCATTTCGCAGCATGAAAAATGATTTTTGAGCACTCAAACTTATTTGACACCTAAAAGAGGAGAGAAAAATAAATATGATAGGTGATGCATGATGTGAATGTGATAGTAAAAAAAAAAAAAGATATTACGATTGTTAAATTAAATATTTAGAAAAGTGAGGTGTTTAAAAATGGTTGCTCTTCAAGTAATATACTTTTGAATACAAGATCGAACCAAAACGCTATAAGAAAATAGACACACTCCTACTCAATTAAACTGCTATTGAACCATCATGGACAAAAACTAAATTTTTTGGAATTGATCAGAAGGGGTTCAGAAAATTGTGGAGTAGAAGGGGTTCAGAAAACATGGTAAATTGTGGAGACTAAATATCTTTGGAAAAAGCAAAGTGAGAAAATTGTGGAATATAATGAACTCGATCATCAAACATGTTATAGTGCGAATGAGATTAATGGCATTAACACGCTGGCGTGTTGCGGTTCTCCTCGTCCTCTAACTCAAGCAAGTTCATGATCACAGCATCAGAAATCTTTCTTTGCAGCTCCATCCAGTCCCTAAACAAATCAAAATCAAAGTTACATATATATAGGTTATGGTTCTGGCGTCAATCATAGTATATATATTAAACAATATATATAACAACCACTAGGAAGAACCTAAATATAATAGGTGTATAGGCAATGTAGTTAGAGTTCTAAGTTTAAATCTTGATGTGATGAATAAAAGAAAAATTAATATTTTTTTAATCCATCATAATCCCCTTAGTTAAAAACTATGATGACAATATTAGAAATTAAAACTCTATTTATACTAGTTGAACCTCTTATGATCAGTAGAAAATATATTGCATGCAAGCAATTTATAGGGAAAAAAGAAAGCAGCAGTGTACCCATTTAACGAATCAAAGGCGATTCCTACAGTGTATTTAGTTTCCTCAAGAGCTGCGACGAACTTTTGGAGCAGTTGAGGTGGATAACGTGCATTGGCCTTGAGCTGAAGTTGCGAGGGCTTGATGTCATAAAAGATAGGGATGAGCCTTTTGTTGGATTCGTTGAGAAGGCGAAGCTCGTGGAGACAGAAGTGAGAATCGCAAAAACGACGTGTGAGGACAGAAACACCAACCTTACTGCTGTGTATGGCATTGTTAATTTGGTGAAACAACTTATTGCCAGGTTTCATGCTTTTGGTGTCTAAGAAGGGTCTGATTCCCTTGTTCATAAGATGATCATAGAGCAAAGGAACGAATGCTCTCCCACTATCAGCCTTACGGTAGTTTATGAAAACATCGTACATAGGCTGTGCAATCTTATGGCACTGCTTGCCTCTAAACTGCTTCATATGGTTTGTCTTAATTTGGTTTTTCTGTTTCGATTCTTCCTATAAGTCCAACGTGTTAGGGCATGCATGCAAGTGCATAAATATATATGTTGAAGTGGAAGAACATTGATCTTTAATTAATTATTGTATAAAGAAAGACCCCAAACAGCAAGATAGTCAGATACCTCACTTTCGTCTAGAAGGACTGCATTATGAGGGGACACACGGATCCGTTGAAATTTTCGCTTTAGGATGTTAATTTGGCAAATCTCAAAATGTACATATATGGAATATCCAAGCCTCTTTAAACACCAAATATTTTTAAGGTATGCACCTCAAAGAAAAGAAAGAACCCAATTTATAACGTACGTGTCTGAAAACTATAAACGTGAAAATTTATATATTTTTCAATTAAAACAACTTGTATTTTTAATTGATTCAGTCTCATCGGCACCTTTTATTTTTACACTAAAGTTTAACAAAGTCAAGCAGCATATCACATTATACGCACTTGCATGTTTGTTAGATATCATTTAAATAATAATAAAAAATAATGATTTGAGAAGAATCATAACGCATTGATGGACGAGTTCCGTCAGCTCTTTGCTTTGACAACTACCTCACCGTTAGAATGGTCGGAAGGTTCGTGTAAATCCTCACTAGACCTGAATTTTCGTAGGGTTATTTATTTAAATTTGTATTCATAGAATCATAGTTAATATTCGACATATATAAGACCAAATCAACTTAATTTATTCTTCAAAAAAGAAATTAATTATTTTGAGGGACTAAAAACTTATTTATACTAAATTATGTATGGATGTATGTATGTATGTATATATTTATCTATCTATCTATTTCTCTCTCTCTCTCTCTCTCTCTCTCTATATATATATATATATATATA